GGTGTTGGTGAGAGGGCACAGTGAGACCCCATCAGGGGACGTCCCGGTGAGAGCTGTACGCTGTGGGGGGCAGCCCTGGCCATAGGATGGCCACACTTTGAAGCCGGTGGGTCTGTGAACCAGTGACATTCTCTTTGTGAGCCTCAGAACTTGGGGCCATTGTGGGGTCTTGGGAAACTGGAAGAGCAGAGACTTGAAGTCCCCGCAGCGGCCCGGTCAGGCGCGATGGGCTGGATGTACCAATGTGGGAGGGGCACAGGGCATGTGACGTGGGCATCCCTTCTACCTGGCAGGGAGAGGCGGCCGGACCAAGCTAGAGACTTGGGGTCTTTCTGGGCCCCTTTCCTTCCCTCCCTCTGGCCTTCAGGAGGGCTGCATGCCTCGTGGGCAAACCCAGGGTCTGGCCACCGGCCCCACCTGCATCCCGGCACCACCAGCCCAGGCCACCATGGTGCTGGGTTCTGACACGTGCGTTACCTCCTCCCAGGGATGGGAGAGCCTTATGCCAAGTGCAGACTATGTCCCCCTGCCGTGTCCTCTGTCCCCTCCACTTCCCCATGTCTTCCCTGCCATGTCCCATGTCTCCTATGCTATGTCCTGTGTCCCTTTCTCCCACACATCGGGTCCCAAAGGTGTGGGACCTTGCAGGCCTGTCGCCAGCACCCCAGGGCCCTGTAGCCCTTCTGCCCCTTGGTTGGTTTGCTCCCTTTCCCGAGGCTCTCATGGAACAGCCACTGAGGCTGGTGGCCTGTGCCAGGTCAGAGGCCTCCAGTTGGCAGCAGCTGCATTGATTGAGTGCCGACAGTATGCCCCATGCTTGGCGTCAGCTCTTTTATTCCTGGTATTGTTTTGGGAGCTGCTGGGCAGTGGGAGCTGAGGAGCCTTCTTTCTGCCGCTTTCTCGGAAAGACCAGTGCCCACATTCCTGGCCCTCATTTGTGGGCAGGCGTCAGTCCCAGGAATGGGAAAGCAAGTTCCAGAGAGCTGGGGGCCTTGGGGGGAGAGCAGAATACTTGGCCTTGGCTTGGGGTGCGGTGAGGCGTGGGCTGGGAGAGTCCTGGCAGGGGTTCTTGATCCTACAGGGGCCTGACCCTAGAGGTGACGGCATTACTCTCTCCTGTTAATGTTTGGGAGGTGAAATGATGTATTAGGGCCTCCTAAACCATTCATTCTTTAGTGCATTCAACAAGTTTTCCAGGATGAGACAGCAGAGGGGACAGTGATGCTGGAAGGGAGGCGATTTGGGGGTGAAGGAAGCAGTGGGGAATGGACCACAGAGATCCTCATACACTGTGGGGGTGCTGGTGATTATGGCACGGTTTTATGCAGCATCTGAGAAAGCCCAGATGTTTTGTTTATTTTTATTTCTTTATTTTAATTTTATGAGGAATTCACATAACCTAAAATCCACCATTTTAATTTTTTAAAACTTATCTTGAGAGAGAGAGGGAGAGAGAGAGAAAGACAGCGAGATAGAGAGAGGGAGAGGCAGAGAGAGGGAGACAGAGAATCCCAAGCAATTTCTACAGTGTCAGCACAGAGCCCAACGCAGGGCTCGAACCCATGAACCATGAGATCATGACCCAAGCTGAAACCAAAAGTCGGATGCTTAACAGACTGAGCCACCCAGCTGCCCCAAATCCACCATTTTATTTACTAATTTTTTTTAAACCATTTATTTATTTTTGAGAGAGAGACAGAGAAAGTGCGAGGAGGGGAAGGGCAGAGAGAGAGGAGACACAGAATCCGAAGCAGGCTCCAGGCTCTGAGCTGTCAGCACAGAGCCTGACAGGGAGGCTTGAACCTACAAACCGTAAGATCATGACCTGAGTTAAAGTTGGACCCTCAACCAACGGAGCCACCTAGGTGCCCCCCAAATCCACCATTTTATTTATTTATTTATTAAAAAAATTTTTTTTAATGTTTTATTCATTTCTCGGAGAGAGAGAGAGAGAGAGAGAGAGAGCCAGCGTGAGAAGGGGAGGGTCAGAGAGAGAGGGAGTCACAGACTGAAACAGGCTCCAGGCTCTGAGCTGGCAGTCAGCACAGAGCCCGACGCGGGGCTCGAACCCACGAACCGCGAGATCATGACCTAAGCGAAAGTCGGATGGTTAACCGACTAAGCCACCCAGGCGCCCCCCAAATCCACCATTTTAAAATGCACAATTCAGTGGCATTTAGTGCCTTTACAGTTTTGTGCAAACATCACCTCTAACTTGCTCCAGAACAATTCTGTTACCTCAAAATGAGACCTGTGCCCATCAGCAGTCATCCCCCCACACCCCCGACTCCCGGCCCCTGGCAACAGCTGATCTGCTTTCTGTGTCTATGGATTTGCTTGCTCTGGACTTTTTATACAAAAGGAACCATACGATTTATGACCTTGTGTGACTGGCTTCTTTCATTCAATGTGATGTCTTTGAATCCACGTTGTAGCGTGATTCAGCTTCGTTCCTCTTTATGACTGAGTAATATTCCATTGTGTGGATGACCACATTTTGTTTCTCTGTTTGCCCTTTGGTGGACCTTTGGGTTGTTTCCACCTCTTTCTTTTTTAAAGCTTTATTGTTTGTTCTAAGACGACCTTTGTCTCCTGAGTCCTTATTTTGAGGTGCAGGAAGCTCTGTTTCATTTGTCTCCATCCCCCCATTGAACCACCCCCACAGGTAAACCCACTCTCGTTGGGTAGATATTCTTGGTTTTGTGGCTTACCCACAATTTGCTGTGCCCCTCCGCCTCCCCCACTTCATTGGCCATGATGGACAGGGAGAGCCCACCTACTCTGTCATGTCCTGGGCCTGGGTTCAAATCTTGCTATGTTGTCTTACATCTCTGGGACTATGCATAAACCACTCATTGTGTTCCTGTCCCTGGAAAGTGGGACCAGCGGGCCTTTCGCCTAGACTGGGCAGTCCCCAAGGATAGCCTCGAACGAAATTCTTTGGGAAATGACTTTGTGGTTCTGTGGTGGCCCTCCCCTGGGGTGCAGGGCACACGGAGCTTACTCGGTGGGTGTCAGAGTAACTGGGCCTCCAAGAAGGTCCTCCTCCCCTGGCCCGTGACACCCCCAGCCCTGGGGACCAGAGCTGGAAGCTGTCAGTCGTAGACCTCCTCCTCTACACCGGCACTGGGGGCTGTGTGCCAGCACCGTAATCCCACCCCCCACTGCCCGCAGGGGAGAGAAGAGGGGTTTGCCCTCGGGGGGAAGCTTGCTGGGGCATGGGGGACAGTGATGTGACATGTCTCCTGCACTCAGGAGACACATTTATTTATTTATTTATTTTTAATATTTTTTTATTTATTTATAGGAGAGAGAGAGACAGCGTGAGCAGGGGAGGGTCAGAGAGAGAGGGAGTCACAGACTGAAACAGGCTCCAGGCTCCGAGCTGGCAGTCAGCACAGAGCCCAACGCGGGGCTCGAACCCATGAACTGCGAGATCATGACCTAAGCGAAAGTCGGACGCTTAACCGACTAAGCCACCCAGGCGCCCCTCAGGAGACACATTTAAAATGAGAAATAATGAAATAAAGTTTAAGGGGAGGGGTGGGAGGAACTCAGATGTCCACAGATGGGTGAAGGGATCAAGAAATGGTGGTCTGTTCACACACTGGAATATTACTCAGCCACGAAAAGGAGCGAAACATTGATTCATGCTATCACACGGACAACCCTCAAATACATGCTACCTGAGAGAAGCTGGACACAGGAGGCTGTGCGGTACATGATCACATTTACATGAAGTGTCCAGAAGAGGCACATCCACAGGCCGAAAGCAGATTGGCGGTGGCCGGGGGGAGGGGAAGGGTGGGAAGTGACTGCTGATGGGGTTGGCGTCTCATTTTCGGGGGATGAAAATGTTCAGGAACCAGATAGAGGTGATGGCGGCACAACATTGTCTCCATAGTAAATGTCACTGAACTGTTCACTTAAAATTTTTTTTAGTGTTTTATTTATTTCTGAGAGAGGGAGAGAGAGTGAGCAGGGGAGGGTCAGAGAGAGAGGGAGACACAGAATCCAAAGACAAGCTCCAGGCTCTGAGCTAGCTGTCAGCACAGAGCCTGACGCGGAGCTCGAACCCTCGAACCGTGAGATCATGACCTGAGCCAAAGTCGGACACTCAACCGACTCAGCCACCCAGGTGCCCCTGAACTGTTCACTTTATTTTATTTTATTTATTTTTTTTATTTTTTTTTTTATTTTTTTTTAATTTTTTTTTTAAATGTTTTATTTATTTCCAGGAGAGAGAGAGAGAGACAGCGAGAGCAGGGGAGGGTCAGAGAGAGAGGGAGTCACAGACTGAAACAGGCTCCAGGCTCTGAGCTGGCAGTCAGCACAGGGCCCGACACGGGGCTCGAACCCACGAACCGCGAGATCATGACCTAAGCGAAAGTCGGACGCTCAACCGACTAAGCCACCCAGGCGCCCCTATTTATTTTTTTAAATAAATTTTTTTAAATGTTTTATTTATTTCTAGGAGAGAGAGAGAGAGAGAGACAGTGTGAGCAGGGGAGGGTCAGAGAAAGAGGGAGTGACAGACTCTGAAACAGGCTCCAGGCTCTGAGCTGGCAGTCAGCACAGAGCCCGACGCGGGGCTTGAACCCACGAACCGTGAGATCATGACCTAAGTGAAAGTCGGACGCTCAACCGACTCAGCCACCCAGGTGCCCCTGAACTGTTCACTTTAAAATGGCGCCTGGGTGGCTGAGTCGGTTGAGCGTCCGACTTCGGCTCAGGTCTTGATCTCACGGTTTGAGGGTTCAAGCCCCGTGTCGGGCTCTGTGCTGACAGCTAGCTCAGAGCCCGGAGCTTGTCTTTGGATTCTGTGTCTCCCTCTCTCTCTGACCCTCCCCTGCTCACTTTCTCTCTCAGAGATAATAAAGCATGAAAAAAAATTTTTTTAAATGGTGCATTTTAAGTTATGTGAATCTTATCTCAGTGAAGAAACAAAAGGGACATTGGAGCCTCCTCAGGTTCCAGGAGAAACCCTGTCCCTTTCACAGGTGGCAAATGGAGCCTGGAGAAGCAGTGTCCTTTGCCAAGGCCAGTTGGTGGCCAGGTGACAGATGCAATTGGGACCCAGGTTTTGTTCCTGCTTCTCCGGAGCTGCTTCTGGCAAGTTTGTGCCTCGGGCAGCTTTAGAGCTCAGGCAAGCCAGCCCAGTGTCCCCGGGCAGAGATCAGACAGACCTGAGGCCGCCGAGCTGAGCCCCCACCTCTGCTCTCCTGCAGCATGGCCGACAAGAATGGAGCTCTCAAGTGCACCTTCTCGGCGCCCGGCCATAGCACCAGCCTCCTGCAGGGCCTCGCTGCCCTCCGTGCCCAGGGCCAGCTCCTGGACGTTGTGCTCACCATCAACAGAGAGACCTTCCACGCGCATAAGGTGGTCCTGGCCGCCTGCAGCGACTACTTCAGGTGAGCACAGGTCTCGGGGGACAGGCTGGAGAGTGCCCACCCTACTCAGAGGGAGTGATCTCAGTGCCAGCCAGCATGTCTCTGAGGGAAAATGGCTAATGTTGGCCACACATTCAGTAAACCTGTAGCTTTGTCTAGGTTTGTGACTTTCTCAAACTTTTGCGGGACATTGTGCAGGCAAGCAGAACATGCCTGGGGGATAGAGGTGGCCCAGGGGCATTGGATTAGCAGTTTCTGCCCTAGGGGAGCGGCAGGGCTTGGCCAAGTTTTCATTCTGTCTTTGTTTGACAGCAGTGCATCCCATAGTGCATCAAGCACTATGCTTGACCTTGGTAGTCCAGTAGGGGTAAGACAGACATAAGTCTCTCTCCTCATGGTTCCTGTACTCAGGCTGAGGGATAGTAGGGAAGCCTGGATGGGGGTCCCCACGTGTACCTGTGACTGTGTTGCAGTCCCCTCATGACAGGTGAGGCTTTGATGGGTGTACTGGAGAGTCTGCCTCGCGGGCCCTTTCCTAAAATCTCCTGTGTTGGGCTGGGTGGTGTGTGTGTGTATGTGTGTGTGTGTGTGTGAAGGCCCCTTGGGGAAGGGCTAGGGCCATTCCCACCAGCTGAGGGCTGTCATGGGCTGAAGACAGTCTCCCTCACTTCCTCAGTGACCAGCCGGCCAGTTCCCCCTGCCAGGCTGTGACCCTGCCGAAGAGAGCTGGGGTGCTGTCCTGGGGTGGTCTCTGGCCCTGCTTTGCCAGGGGTGGCTGAGGGGCCCCTGTAGACTGTCTTGTGGAGCCCCAGCCTAGGTGCGTCCCGAGGCTTGCACGGTCCTTGAGGCTAGGGTGGCGAGGCTGGGATGGCTTGCCCCGTGCGCCCCCCAGCTGCCCGCCCCCCAGGCTCAACAAGGCCGTTCTGGGGAGACGGAGCAGCCAAGCCATCTGGGGCGCCGCTTCTATTTTTATTCTGGATTTGGGGACGGGTGGGCCGGCCCAGCCAGAAATGCCCTTTAAAGGCTCCTCTGCGCCGGCACTGCAGCCGGCGAGGCCTTAAAAGGCAAAGCTCCCTCCCGTCGCTGTGGCTGCCTCTGCCTTCGATGGGCTGATGGGACTCATGGGGACAAGAAGAGGCAGGGTCCGGGGGGCTGCCCGACCTCTGCTCCTACAAGACTCTGTGGCGCTGCTGCTCGCAGTGGCGGGCAGCTGTTGGCTGGTGGCCCCGCAGCAGCACCAAGCTCGGCTGTCTTTACTCTGGACCTGAGCCAAGGCCACACTGGTTGTGTGGCTGCAGGACAGGTGTCTGCTGGGCAGATGCATGAGGGAGGTCCCTTCTCTGCACTCAGCCATCACGATGCACACCTGCCCCGTGAGAGAAACCTCTGATGAACTCCCTGCTGGGTTTCTATCCCTTCCTCCTGATGGGGGATCCCAAGTGCCACGGGGTGCTGTGACCCAGGTCCCGTTTCTCTCACTGGTGCTCACGTTAGCGCTGCTTCCAGAGCAGAGCAGGAAGGCTGACAGCTGGTGTCACTCACTGGGAGTCTCACAGTGGGCCGTTCATGGGGGACTTTCATGACTGCCTGGGGCTCTCTCTGGGGATGACAGTGACCTTGGGCGGGTCCTCCTAGTGTATACTCTGACCTGGTGACCCTGTGTGGCAGGGCTGAGATTCAGGCCAGGGAAGGTGGGAGCCACAGGTGGTGTGGGTGCCTGCCGGTGAGGGGCTGGGCTCTGAGAACCATGGTGCATGGTGTTCTTGGGGTCCCCGCCTTGTCTCCTGAGCCTACTGTGTGTGTGGTCTTCCAGGGCTGGGTGCCAAGGTGGGGTTGCTCCTGTCTCCAGAGTCAAAACCAAGGTTCGGCCTTCTCTTGCCCACCTGTACCTGCCGTGAGCGGGCTCCAGCACTCCACACCCCTGGGTAGGCTGGGCCTGGCCCCAAAATGGAGGGGCAGAGTGGGGAGTTGCCGTGTGTAGGAAGATACATGGCTTGGGTGGGCTAAACATCATTTCTGTTTTTGCATGTCTTTAATGAGCATCTGGCCTCTTTTCCCTGATGGGCCGTGCCCTGCTCGTGGGGTCCAGGGGCCAGGTTGTTCCTGGGTGGCCATGATGCCCCTTGGCAGCCCCGAGCCCACGTGCTGTGTTTCCGAACTTCAGGGCCATGTTCACGGGCGGCATGAGGGAGGCGAGCCAGGACGTCATCGAGCTGAAAGGCGTGTCGGCCCGCGGCCTGCGGCACATCATCGACTTTGCCTATAGCGCCGAGGTGACGCTAGACCTGGACTGCGTGCAGGACGTGCTGGGGGCCGCCGTGTTCCTGCAGATGCTTCCTGTGGTGGAGCTGTGCGAGGAGTTCCTCAAGGCCGCCATGAGCGTAGAGACCTGCCTGAACATCGGCCACATGGCCACCACCTTCAGCCTGGCCTCGCTCAAGGAGTCGGTGGATGCCTTTACCTTCCAGCACTTCCTGCAGATCGCGGAGGAGGAGGACTTCCTGCACCTGCCGCTGGAGCGCCTCGTCTTCTTCCTACAGAGCAATCGGCTGCAGAGCTGTGCCGAGATCGATCTGTTCCGCGCGGCCGTTCGCTGGCTGCAGTACGACCCTGCCCGGCGGCCGTGCGCCAGCCACGTGCTCTGCCACATCCGTTTCCCACTCATGCGGTCGTCAGACCTGGTGGACAGCGTGCAGACGCTGGACATCATGGTGGAGGACGTGCTGTGCCGGCAGTACCTGCTGGAGGCCTTCAACTACCAGGTGCTCCCCTTCCGGCAGCACGAGATGCAGTCACCGCGCACGGCCGTGCGCTCAGACGTGCCCTCCCTGGTCGCCTTCGGTGGCACGCCCTATACCGATAGCGACCGCTCTGTCAGCAGCAAGGTGTACCAGCTGCCCGAGCCGGGCGCCCGCCACTTCCGGGAGCTCACGGAAATGGAGGTGGGCTGCAGCCACACGTGCGTGGCCGTGCTGGACAACTTTGTGTATGTGGCGGGGGGCCAGCACCTGCAGTACCGCAGCGGCGAGGGCGCGGTGGACGCCTGCTACCGCTACGACCCGCACCTGAACCGCTGGCTGCGCCTGCAGGCCATGCAGGAAAGCCGCATCCAGTTCCAGCTGAACGTGCTGTGTGGCATGGTGTACGCCACGGGGGGCCGCAACCGCGCCGGCAGCCTGGCCTCCGTCGAGAGGTACTGCCCGCGGCGCAACGAGTGGGGCTACGCCTGCTCTCTGAAGCGCCGCACCTGGGGCCACGCGGGCGCCTCAGCGGGGGGCCGCCTCTACATTTCGGGGGGCTACGGCATCTCTGTAGAGGACAAGAAGGCACTGCACTGCTACGACCCTGCTGCCGACCAGTGGGAGTTCAAGGCACCCATGAGCGAGCCCCGCGTGCTTCACGCCATGGTGGGTGCCGGTGGCCGCATCTATGCCCTCGGGGGCCGCATGGACCACGTGGACCGCTGCTTTGACGTGCTAGCTGTGGAGTACTACGTGCCGGAGACAGACCAGTGGACCAGTGTGAGCCCCATGCGGGCTGGCCAGTCGGAGGCCGGCTGCTGCCTGCTGGATAGGAAGATCTACATTGTGGGGGGCTATAACTGGCGCCTTAACAATGTGACCGGCATCGTGCAGGTGTACAACACAGAGACGGATGAGTGGGAGCGCGACCTGCACTTCCCAGAGTCCTTTGCGGGCATCGCCTGTGCCCCTGTCCTGCTGCCCCGGTCAGGGACCAGGAGGTAGCTCCTGGGACCCCTGGGACCCGGCCCGGCCTCATGCCGTCTCCGTCTCTGCGAGGGGTTTGGTGAGCGTACACTGGGGCCGAGAGCCACGGAGTCACCCCTGGGCTGTGGCCTGACGTCTTGGGGCCTGCTGGATCGATAAGTTCCTTCCCTGGAGTCCCTCCTTCCTTCCTGCAGCAGATCCTGGCTTCGTGCCCGCTGAGGGAGCCTGCCGGCCCTGAGGCTGACGTGTCATGGCGGCAGGGCTTTCCTCACCTGCCTCGCATCCTCGCTCATGGAGGGAATCGGGGTCTCCTTTGGGGTGTTGTGTGGCTTATGTCCCACTTCTCTCTCCTTCCCTGGCCTGGTGGTCTCAGACATTTGGATGCAAGCTCATTAGCATTGATCCCCAAATCTGTGGTTTGCACCCCACCCCCTTCCCAAAGTTCTTACACTGTGTGTTTTTTAAAATAAATGTACCCCCAAAACTCTGTAGCACACAGACCCCCCAGGAGCTGGTGAGCTGGCATGGGTGCACCCAGCTCAGGCTTAACCTCAAGGGCGGGCATGTTTCTGCCTACAATAAGCCTGAGCTGCTGGGGTGGAAGGGCGATCTTGGAAGAGGGTCCTGCACCATCTTCATTCCTGTCCCAACACCTTTGGTGTGTTCTGTCGTCCGCTTCCAAAAGGAGAGAATACGGTCGGCTCTCAGAGACGTCCTTATGGTCGCCAGCCTCCTATGGCGCCGGGCGTGTCATGGGTCCTCAGTGAGGAGTGGGCCGACACGCTCGGGGGACACCTGCTCTAGAATCTCTCCGTGCGTCTGCATTCCACAAATCTGATGATCTTTTTTTCTCTCCCTTTTCCCAGCCCTGCACCCCCCCCCCACTCATCCATGTTCGGGGCCTGCGCCCTCAGCAAGGGAGACCAGGCGGGTGCTGAGGCCTCTTCCCTGCAGGGGCTTTGCAGCATCTCTGGCCGCATTTGATTTGGTGTCAAACCTCCGAAGCTGTTTTTTTGTTGTTGTTTTGATTTGATTTGATTTGCTGTTTTAGTTGTTTTTGTTGTTGTTGTTTGGTTTGGTTTGGTTCTGTTTTGCTTTTTTATGAGACCGACACTGCTGTCTTATAAATGGGATTTGTACCCTTGGGGCAACTTAAAGTGTCTCTTCTGCTGCTAACGGACGATTGATGTTGTGTCTCTGTGACCCACTCACCGTGTAAAGAATTAACCTCATATCTTAGCAGATGTCGTCTCCTAATATTTTCCTTCATTTAATAAAAATGTTATGGTGAAGAGATGGAGTGGGCCCAACGCTGAGCTTGTGGGGCCTGATGGGTTACAGATTCCTCACGTCCTCTGTGTGGTGAGGGGCTCCTCTCCCCTCCTCACCCTTTTCCAGCATTACAGAGGGGCTGGGAGAGGGGCTGGCCTTTGGCTCAGGGGCGTGGGGCAGTAGGAAGTGTGGCCAGAACTTCCACCGGGGGACTGGAAGAGAGGACAGATCTGCCCTGGGCTGGGTGGCCTTTGGCGAGACTCTCCAGGTTGTTCATGTGCCTGCTGGCTTGGCCCCCTGCCACCAGACAGCCCCCAGCTCCTGGCAGGTTGTATCCATCTGTTCAGTCCTGGGGTGTGTGATTGGTGAGCCGGGGAGCCCCTCTCCCTGCAGGCCGTGATGGGGGAGATGCAGGGCAGCCCTAAAGGAAGCATGAAGTCATCACCATTCCAGATGGGCCTAAGAGCTGCGTGACTTGCCCCCAACCCCTGCTCCCCCGGCCAGCCTCACCACGCACCGGGCCGCGTGTTGGTGGAGAATGCCTGCTGGTCACGGATGGCGTTCTGAGAGGGGAGGCTTCCAGGATCACCCTGAAAAGGCACCCGCAGGCCTGGTGCCCCTGTGCGGCCGCCTTCGGGGCCCCAGAGTGAGGCCGGATGTGTGGGTGGGGGGCAGTGTTGAAATAAAAACTTGGTTGGGAACCAGGAAGGAACCCATGCTGCCAGGGGCATTGAAATGAAAGCAGAGGCCCTTGGGGACTTACCAGAACATTCCAGTCCCTTTTCACCCCCCCCAACCTGAGCTCCCCCAAAGAGAACCCTTCCCTGCTAGAGGCATGGCCCCTTCAGGGGGGCAGTGAGAATCTTTTGCCAGCTGCAAGTCCCCCCAGATCAGCTCACACCTCAGAACATCTTGTCCCCAATGAGCTGGCAGGGGTGCCGGCGCAGGGGGTGGGGTTGGGGGGCGCCGCCGTATCTAACCGGGTCGATTGTGCATAACCGTCTGGGCTGGTTCATGGAATGTTCTCAGGGGCCCCCTGCCCCTCCCTCTTCACCACCCCCCCCGGAAGAAAGGAAAATTATTTTTTGTATTGTAAACTTTAAACACGAAAAAGCTGTTTTTAATTTAGCAGAAACTGGCTTGAATCTTCACTTTGTGAACGTTTGTGTCCTTCAGAGAAAGGCGGAACACGCATTTGCACACACGCATGCACAAATGCACGCACAGGCCCAAGCTCACATGCACACCTGCATTCGTGCACTGTGACATGTACATTCACGTGGTCACACTGGTGTTCACACGTAGCCTTCCTCGTACGCTGCATGACAGGCATACGTGCTTGCTCACACAAACACACTCACACTCGTTCTTGCACCAGCCTGGGCCTCTGCATGGTACCCTAAAGGGTTTTGAAGCCTGTCCCCTCATCTCCTCCCTTCACCTTTCGTCCAGGACGGCTTGGGCCATGAATGGCCAGCCACTGTGTGTAGGGACGGAGCTTGGGGAAAGCCCGCCTGCTTCCAGATGTCCTGCTTCCCCACCAAGGCCCTGGATGCGGCCGGCGGGAGCCCTCCCTCCACACCTGGGCTCGGGCTGTGGGAAAACGCTGTCTCCCGGGACGGTGGGATTCAGGCCCGCTAGAGGCAGGCCAAGTGTGACTTCTGGGGCCTCGCAGCAAGCGAGGCCAAGGGGGCCTCCAGGGAGCTGTGTGAGGTGGGAATCTGCCCCGGACCTGGCCAGCTTGGAAACCCGCCCCTGGCTTTGTCTCCAAGAACGTAGCTCCATCTCCTGTGTTCTCACAGGCCCCGGAGAGTTCGCTTCTCATGGTGGAGCCTCAGTGCACGGGTTTTATTAGGGGCACCTGGCCCTGGAGGCACAGCCCGCATGTTTCCTGCACAAGTGAGAGGTCCTGGGATGGGGAGGCGGGAGTAGTGTCCACGGGCACCATCTGCCTGTGGATCCCAAGGGCAAGAGGGCCGTGAAGCCGCGCCCCTGCCTACAAGGCCCCAGCTTACGTCTTGTGGCCGACCCTGCTTACTGCCATCCTGGCAGCCATTTCTCCCTCCTCACCAACAGAGCTCTGATTTGGTGCCAGCAACAGCGTGCCCAGCCTTGGGGGTTAATTTAGGATTTGGCTGAGCCATTCTTGGCAATGCCTTTTGCCGGAGTTGTTTTTGATCTGGGCACATTTCCCAGATCTGGCCAGCAAGCTTTAAGGGGAGATCGGGGTGGGGGTTTCTGGACACGGGAGAGGCCTTATTGCCCCCTTTCCTCCCTTACTACTTCCTGTGATGACATGATGCCAGGAGCTTCTGCAGCCATCTTGTGGCCATGAGGAGCAAGTTATGCGAGTGCAGAGATGCCACCTCCCAAAGCCCTGAAATCACAGGGCCACCTGTCCCACCCTGGAACTTCTGACCTCCAGACTCCTTTTTATGAGAAATCACAATGTTTGTGTTGCTTAAGATACTAGGGGTCAGATATTCTGATACTTGTAACCCAAACACTTTCAAAATTACGAATGTAACATGCAGGGAGTTCCCCACCTTATGGACGTCAGGCTTTTTATTTGCAAACAACAGAAACTGCCTCTGGGTAATTTAAATAGCAAAAGTGTGCACTGGAAGCCTGTTCGGTTGCTCACAGAAGTGGCAGGAGGGCTGAAAAACCAGGCTCAGAAAACAGTAGGAATCAAGCGGGGTGGGGGAGGCAGCCAGAGCGATCAGCTGAAATCATGCCGGGGAACTGGCTGGTGAGGACACTTCCTCCATTGCCACAGAATCTAGATGCTTCAGTGGGCACTGTCGTTTGCCCTTGACACTCAGCCCTACTGGCCCCTAAAAACCAGATGCTCCTGTCTCGATGCTATTTCTTCGTACCACTTGTTCTGCAGTGCAGACATCCTGTTGGCCTAGCCCATGTCCCGTGTCAATATGCCCTAGCTGCCTGGGGAGTGGGGAAAAGAGTACATCAGTGTATTAGCTGCTACTGCTGGGTAACAAACAACCCCAAGTCTCAATGGCATGCAAAAATGAATGTTTATTTTTTGCGTGTCCGTAACTTGGCTGAAAGGTGCTTGTTCTCGGCTGCCATCGGCTGGGCATTCTCTGCTTCTGGGTGCAAGGCTGTGGACTATCCAGGAGCACAGACCCACCTGTCTCACATCCTCGACCAGCAGCTAGCTAATATGTGTTCTACAGTGGTACCAGAGGACGAGTGGAATCATGGGAGCCTTCTAAGGTCCGGATTTGGAAGTCATACACTGTCTCTTCTGCCCATATGCCTTTGGCCAGAGCAACTGACATGGCCAAGTCCAAAATCAGCACTGGGGAAATAGCCTCAGACTTCAGAAGGAAGACCTATGAAGTAGTGCTGCAAAGGGCAGGACACAGAGACCGAGGGGGAGCAGATCAACTGGTTTGATCAGTCATACTTTTGGCTTGGAGGCTTCTGGTGTCAGTGTGGGAAGGTCTTCTTGGCATATGGGGAGTCCCCAAGACTTGGATGGGGACTCAGATGCTGGGCCACCAAAAAGAAAAGCCTGGTCTACTGCTCCTGCAGCCAATCTCCCCCCTGGTGGCCAGCCCTCTTTTTTTTTTTGGCAGGTAGGTTGGGGCTGTAAGTGTTCTGGGCTTTAGGACTGCAAGGAGGGGGTCTGTGCAGGGAGTTTGGTTGGAGCCTGTCCAAGTCTCAAGGCACGGTGGTGTCATTGGAAGGCCTACCCCGGGCATCCCCTCAGCAGGGGCTTTGCCAGGGAGGAACTGCAATTCCTGCCCCCTCGGCTCCAGCTCCTTCCTTCACTCTTTGGCAGCCCACCCTGTCCCCCCTTTCGCCTACACTCAGCCCGCGATGGGGGCTGGGTCTTCATCTAACCTCTTCCTACTCAGGGATAAAGGGTGAGTTCCATGTCTGGCATTTCCGGCTGCCTTCAGGTTCTCTCTTTTTGCTTCATAATCAAACCTGGCTCTTGCTTTGCCTTTCAAAACTTTGATGAGGGCCTGGTTTGGAAGTCAAAGACGGGCCTGGGATCGTTTTTCTCTTTGCCTTCCCGCTCCGATGGCCCGAATTCACCTCTACCCGATGTGGGTACCCCGGATTGACTGAGAGTCCATATAAGGCAGTGCAGAAAAGCAAGGCATGAAAACTAACATCTCGAGGTAGGGTTTTCTTTCCTAACAGTTATTGAATGCTTGCGAGGAAGCAGGCGCTGGGCTAAGTGCTTTACACGCATTATCTATTTAATCTTCCCAAGAGCCTGCAGTAAAGAGTAGCACCATCCACATTTAACACAGGACAGCCTGGCTCAGAGTCACCTTTCTGTTGTCACACAGCTGGAGAATTCCTAAGGGTTGACCACACAGGAATGCTCAGGAGTTTAGGTGTTTTTTGTTTGTTTGTTTTTTAAGTTTATTTACTTATTTTGAGAGAGAGAGAGCACCAAGAGGAGGAGAAGCATAGAGAGGGAGAGCCTCCCAAGCAGGCTCCACGTTGTCAGTACAGAGCCCAATGTCGGGCTCGAACTCATGAACCATGAGATCATGCCCTGAGCTGAAATCAAAAGTCGGACACTTTACCAACTGAGCCACCCAGGTGCCCCTAGGTTTTTTGTTTTTTTTTTAAGTTTCATTTATTTAAGTAATCTGTATACCCAGTGTGAGGCTCAAACTCACGACCCCGAGGCCAGAAGTCCTGTGGTCCTCCAACTGAGCCAGCCAGGTGCCCCCGGAGTTTCAGTTTTAACTTAGCTTGTATTTAGAAGCGTTATGTTGAGGAGTGCTATGGTCTGGATGCCGAGGAAGGGCATTCTAGGCAGGGAGGCAAATCCCTGAGCAAAGCCCTGAGGCAGAACGCAGCAAGGGGGGAGTGGGGATGTGAGGAAGGGAACAGTGGGACAGGACGCTGGGGAAGCTGGCTGGGAACAAACGGAGCTAAGGAGAGCTCTGAAGCAGAGGAGAGAAAACTCTATCCTGCAGCCAGCAGGAAGCGGCTTAAATTGACTCACTTCTTACCTCACACTTGGATGTGCTTTGTAACTAAAGTGAAACTATCCAACAATTGGACACTCCCAGCCCCTTGAGGTCAGGACTGGCTGGAGAAGGACCCAGGGCTGGGTGACCCTAGAGCGAGGAACACAGCTCTCCTTAGAGGTGAGGATGAGCTTTCAGGAGGGGAGTATTTGAGGTGGGTTTTGAGGGATGAATAGGAGTTTCCCAGGCAGAGAATGATTCATTTAACAGACCCTTCCTAATTCTCCCTCTGTGCCTAGTTCTGTGTTAGCTCTGAGACCCAGGAAAACAGAATGAACAGGCAAGTATAAAATGAGGCTTAGGGCTCCTGGGTGGCTCAGTTGGCTAAGCATCTGGCTCTTGATTTCGGCTCAGGTTAATATATCCTGCATATATATATATATACCCTGCAACAGGCTCGATGCTTATGGTGCAAAGCATGCTTGGGATTCTCTCTCTCTTTCTCTCTGCCCCTCCTGCACACTCTCTCTCTCAAAATAAATAAATAAACTTAAAAAGAATAAAAAGGCTTAAAAGTGCTCCGGCCCTTCAAGGGACAGAAAATAAGCCTTAAGACTAAAGAATTGCTGTGTTTGTGTCCTTTCTGCATCACACAGGGAACCTGAGCCCAGGAATGTTCGGGGTGGGTGACTATCCTTTCAGCTTCTGATCTCAGTCGGTCCTGTGGGGAGCAGATAGGACCCTAGAAACAGGTGTCTTCAGAGAGTGGGATGCTCCTGGGTCATGGGACGCACACAGCCGCATATTTCAGATGGGCCCTCAGGGAGGGTCTCAGAGGAGAGCCCTGAAAGATGGGAAGGTGCCAGCTGTGACGGGGCCACAACAATGAAAAAGCAGCCAGCAGAGGCAACAGCACACGGGAAGATCCGGAGGTGGTGCAGCAAGGAGGCTAGAGAGTGACTGCAGTGAGAAGCCAGGGAGGGGGAAGGGACACGGGGGCCTCCTGAGTCACCAGGACGAGGGTGGAGGTTTTTGTAAGTGTGATGGGGAGCATGAGACCCACCCTGATTTCCAGAGACCCTGGGCTGCTCTGAGAAGCCCACCCAGACCACACGAGTGTTAGCAGCTTTTTTTTTTTTTTTTTTTTTTTTTTTTTTTGATGAGAGAGAAAGCAAAAACGGCAGGGCTGGGTTCCACCCTGGTCACCAGACACCTCAGCCTTGCCTTTCTCGGGGCTGGGGGTCAATGGAGCTGGGGGAGGGCTCGGGTCACTGTCCGGCCATTGCGCAATAAGCAGGCTCACAGCTTCCTCTGACTCATCACCAGGGTTTAGGACAGATTGAGTTACTGCCTGTCTGTGGGGTGAATGGGGGTGAGGAGGGTGAGCACTGGCTCTTCACCTCTGCTCTGCGGGTATGGCCCGGTTTGGTGACCTGATAACCCCTGCTACCAACCAAATCTTTTTTATTTTTTTATTTTGTCTGCCCAGAAACTGCCTTGGTGCAGACATATATGTAAGTGATCAGGGTAACCAGCAATTTTTGACCACTTATTACAAGCCTGGCACCTGACATGTATTAACATCATTTAAACCTTACAAAACCCTGAGGTTGAGGCCTGGCTCTGGCACTCAACTTGCTACAGACAACTGCCATCCTGCTCTGTCTCTGTTTCCTCTCCAATCTTTTTGGATGGTGGCTGGAACTGGAATGCCCAGTTCTGTACCTGATTCCCAGAGGCTGTGGTCTCAGTCAGCACCAGAGACAGAAAACGGACTTCGAATTGACTTCAGCAAAAAAGGAAAATAAATTATTGGCTCACGTAAATGATAATGCAGGGGTTTTTGGCTTCAGGCATGGCCAGATCCAGGAGCTCAGCGTCTCTACCTTTGGCTCTGTTTTTCTCTGTCTTGGGTCACCTGTCTTCAAGTGTGACCTCTGGCACTGCAAATTTGTGTTAGCTTTCAAACCAGCCATCCAAGCAAAAAGGATGCTTTTCTTTCTCGTGGTTCAAGCAAAATTTCCAGAACTGCATCTCATTGGGTAAACAGGATCACATGCCTGCCCTGAACCAATTGTGAGAGCAAAGCAATGGGCTCTGTCGATTGGCAGACTTCCGACTTGGGATGGGGTATTTGTGGGGAAAGGGGGGAGTGAAGCCTACCCCATCCACACATCATGGACTGAATATTACAGAGTGCTCCACGAAAGGCAGTTGGTTGTTGGTACCCAAAAGGGGAGGGCAGATGCTTGTTAGGGAAACAGGTTAGAAGTCCACAAAAGTGCTCAAAACCATATGCACAAAAAAGGATAAAATAAAGTAGTGGCAGTGCCCAGGAAACTCCAAAGTAAAAGCTATGTAGAGGGGCGCCTGGTGGCTCAGTTAAGTGTCTGATTCTTGGTTTCAGCTCAGGTCATGATCTCATGGTTTGTGGGTTCAAGCCCCATGTTGGCTCTGTGCTGACAGTGTGGAGCCTGCTTGGGATTCTCTCTCCCTCTCTGCCCCTCCCTGGCTCGATGTCTCTCTCTCTCTCTCAAAACAAAGAAACTTTAAAAAACCTATGTTTTATATATACTTAATACGGACAGTTCCGTAAACTGTTGTAATGTATAAATAAAAGCATGTTCATAAAGTACTCATGTCCCCCTGTGATCACCACCAGCATCCCCTCCAGTCATCCCTTGCCCTAGTAAAAAGTGCTTTTTGTTCAATTAGAAGTGTCCCACATTCTTCCAGCTGCCCCTCTTGGCTCCCGCCCTGTCCATGCTTGGAAACCTCTGAAGCCTTCCGAATATAAACCTTTTGATATTGGTGGTTGTGGTCCCTCTGCTTGGGAAGGGACAGTTAGATGTTAGAAGCTCTCATTTCCTTGGGTCACCCTCCTGCCAAGTAGGAAGATCTTGCTACCCTTTTCACTGCTGGGTCTGGTCTGGGTGGGATTTCTGGACCTTTCCTTTAGCACTCCATGGCAATGCTGCATTCCTTCAGTAAGACTAGACTGGAGAAATTTGCAGAGAGAGGCTGAAGCCCTGTAGTTCTGGTTCGTTGGGCTTGAGGATACAGAGAGTAGAAACTGGTCAAATGTAAGGTGAAAAGGAAAGCAAGGTGTTAAAGACGATGCCTGGGATTTGGGGCTGGGGGCTCCTCTCAAGGGTTAGGACTCAGCCCAAATGCCCCCCCCTTCTCTGACAGTGGTGGCGGTAGGAATCTCCCTCACTAACATCAATATCCTGCCAGTCCACCACTAGTTTTATTTTCCACATCACAATTATCTCCATCAGAAACGTTCTTGGGTCATTTGTTGGTTATTTCTGTTCCCCTCCCTAACTGCGCACCCCTTAGGTCAGGGACTACGTCTGCTTGCTCCCGCCTTTTCCCCAGGGTGCCTGGCACATACAGGCGCTCAATAAATACTCGTTGAATGAATGAATGAATGAATGATGAATGAGCAACTCCTTCAACTGGTCTCAAAGCTGAACTAGTCCGAGCCCGGCTAGCCTCGGGATGCTACCTGTCCTTGAGGGTTGCTGGCCCCATCCTTGTAAATTGGGAGGGTTTGGGTCCGGCGGTCTCCTTCTTGGGGTCTCCAGCGCCTCAGCCGGTCCGCGAACCATGCATGTCCAATAGCCAGGCGGCCGCTGTCCAGCGGGCCAGGAGTCTCCTCATTACGCATGTGCCCAAATCCTACTCTTCCCCCCGCCTCCTCTGTTGGACACGACCGTGCCGGGGAGGGGGGGGGGGTGCGTGCGCATGCGCTTTCGCCCCCGCGCCGCGCGCTACTCTCATGCGCCTGCGCCGCACTCACGACCGCCAAGGAGCCTGCGCATTGCCCGCCGCCCGCGGGCCCGGCCGGCGCTTGCGCGGTGGCACTGGCGAGTGTGGGGGGGTGAGGAGGTGGAGGTGGAGGAGGAGGAGGAGGAGGTGGCGGCGAGAAGATGGCGACTTCGAACAATCCGCGGAAATTCAGCGAGAAGATCGCGCTGCACAACCAGAAGCAGGCAGAGGAGACGGCGGCCTTCGAGGAGGTCATGAAGGACCTGAGCCTGACGCGGGCCGCGCGGGTAAGGGGGCTGCCCGCGCCGACCCTTCGGGGCCGGGAAGGGAGGGAGGGGGCGCGTGTCCGGCGTGTGCACGGGGCGGGGGGCGCGCGCCGCGGGGGCGGGGCGCGCGCCGCGGGGCGGGGCTTGGCACAGCCGGAGGGTACAGGTGTCCCCACGCCCCGGGCATCGTGGGCGGGACAGGTGCCCCCCACATCACCGGTACCTGGAAGGGTACAGGTGCCCCCACATCATTGCTACCTGGAGGTTGGGATAGGTGTCACTACATCATTATTATCTGGAGAGGACAGGAGTCTCCACATCGTTAGTACCTAGAGAGAATAAGTGCTACCGCATCATGGTTACCTGAGAAGGGACAGGTGTCCCCACATCCTTGCTACCTGAGGGGGACAGGTGCCTCCATATCACTGCTACCTAGGGGAGACCGGATGACACTGAGGTGTATGAACTGGGCGCTGCTCGCAAGCATCATTGTTACCTGGGGAGGGGGATGCATGCTCCTACGTCGTTGGTACCTGGCGTGGGACGAGTGCCCCCACATCATTGCGACCTGAGAGGAACAGCGGCCCCCACATCATTGCTATCTGAAGGGACAGGTGTCTCTACATCTTTGTCACCTGTGCCTTCACTCCTTGAGTGTTGGAAGAAGGATGGGTATTCCCTTTTGCAGACTTGAGGTGGGATAGGTGTCTCTCTCTTCTGGATTACCTGAGGGAAAGTTTTGGTGTCCTTCCCTGTGGGGAGCTGAGGGTGGTCAGGAAGGCAGATTGTGCTCCATTCTAGAGCTTGGAGTGAAGACAGCTACCCCTTCCCCATGTAGCCCATATGGTGGGGACCAGGTTGTGTTCCTCCCACTGAGACAAGGGACAGCTGGCCATGGATGGCTCCCGGCCTGCCAGGACCGGGGTGGAGGACAGTTCTTCTCCAGGTTGATGGGTGTGTATGGCACGCAGGGGCAGACCAGAGGACCCGCCAACCTCACCTGGGAAGCCACTGTGAGCCCTGAGCAGGGTTGGTGCTGGAGGCCTTTCTTTTCTCCTGGGCCCGGTTCCCTGGCCATATGACTGCGCCGAGGTACCAGGCTCCTTGGGGCTCAGTGTCCTCTTTGGTCGAGTGTGCCTAGCAAGTCCTTATGGTTCAAGGAAGAGAGCACGCTTTGCACAGGTGGCAGTAAGCCTCTGCTGTTTCCTGCAGAGTGGTGGGACCCTCCCCTCTGTCCTGCACCCTGGGGCCTTGGGGTGGGTTTGGATGGGAGCTGCAGACCCCCGTATAGCTGGTGTCTGAATTTGGCCTCTGACCTGTCTCAGGCAGACATACCTGGGTGACATGAGCCTCAGTCTCTGATCTTCAGGTGCAATTTTCGGGTCGTATTATTTGCTAATTAGTTGCTTGTTTCTCTGTGAGGTCATGACTGTGTAGGCTAGAGTGTGTGTCTCTATTTCCATGTATATGTTCCGCACGTATTGATGGGGTGCTCACCGTGGACCAGGTGCTGCCTGTTCCTGCTCCAGCAGCTCGTGTTTTTGCTTAGGATGCAGAGGAAGAGATGGTTGGTGAACGAACGAATGAATGAAAGAAAGTAAGAAAGTAGGAAAGAAAGAAAAAGAAAAAAAGCTTGCATCTTGAGTGTCCCCATAAGTCAGGGCTCTCCAGGGCAGGAGTGCCTATATCATGGTGTCTCTAGCATGTAGCGTGTGTTAGCATGCAGTAGGTGTCAGTTGTATGTAGTGTGACACGAAGAAGGGGGTCACAGCAGGCTCATGGCTGTCTTCACGACCGGAGGTCTGGGTCCTGCATTGGAGTTGGAAATGTATTGTTGTTGTTAAAAAGGTTTCTTTAAAATAACAGCTTTATTGATTCGTGTACTGTATAAGTCACTTGTTGGAAGCGTAAAAAAATCCGTGTTTTTTAAAAGTGTATTTACAGAGATGTGCAGCCATCACCAGTGTCTAATTCCAGAATGTTTTCACCACCCTCGAAAGAAATCCCGTCCCCATGAGCGGTCACTCCCCCTTCCTCCCTCCCCCAGCCATTGGCCACCACCAAGCTGCTTTCTGTCTCTATGGATCGACCTGTTCCGGACGTTTCCTATACACGGGATCACACAACATGTGGCCTTTTGCGTCTGGCTTCTTTCACTCAGCATAATCATTTTGTGCACATTGTAGTATATCATCAAGAAAAATTTCATTGCTTTTAATGGTTGAGTAATACTCCACTGAATGGATGGGCCACGTTTGTGTATCTATCATCTATTGATGGATTTAGAAAAGATTGTGAAGATATGTAGATAGCAGTTCTCTCGGTTCTGGGAACCATTTCTGTCTGCCTCCTCCCTCTCTGTTGTCTTCCTTCACGTTGGGAGTTGGGTGCGCACACTGGGTGGAGGTGAGCTTATGCTGGATTTTGTGACACAGGGCAGTGTTCTGTGCTGGGGGTGATTCTGTCCCTCAGGGACATTAGGCAACGTCTTGAGACATTTGGGTTGTCTCGTCTGGGGGTGGGGGTGCTACTGGCATCTAGTGGGTAGAGAACAGGGATGGTGTTCAGCACCTCACAATCCGTGGATGGCCCCCACCACAGAGAGTGATCCAGCCCCAGACTGCTGAAGCTAAAAATCCTTCAGCTTGGAGGAAACGTTGAGTGAGCAGGGGTGCCACCTTTGGACCTGGACAGATAGGGTTCAGAGCTCTGCACCCACCCGTATGGCTGTGCCGTCTTGGACCAGCCGATGGCTTTTCCCACAGCTGGGGCCAGGACGAGCAAGCTCTTTCCAGCCGCGTTTGGCCATGTGATAAGTGGCATGTCTGCATTGCCTGGTGCAGGCAAAGTGAACACACCTGACTCAGGCTCCCCCTCTGCCCTCCTGTGGCGGCGGCCTTCCACATGGCCTTGCCCTGTTATAGATGCCGAAGTTTCGCCTGTGCTTGGGAACATGTGGGACGTGGCTGGTTTGGTACCTGCTCCTTCCTGTGAATTCTTTAAGAAGACATACCCCCTCTTGGAATGAGCAGGGCTACTTAGGTTCCCATGTGTCAGCCTACAGTCCTTGGTGATGGCAGGCATGGGAGTACCCTGTGAAAGCAGGCATTCAGCCTTTTTGAATAAATCCGTGCTGTCACCTCACCCAGGGACAGGGACCCCAAAAACGAGAATTGGTTTTGGGATGGGGTGTGATGTCAGGGAGACCACTCTCAAATTGCAGGGTAGAGGGGTGGGTGCATGGGTATTCCATTCTTGTCCTCAGACTTGGGGCAGCCCAAGGTGCAGGGAGGGCTGTGGTGCTCTGCTGTGTGACTTTGGGCAGGTCTCAACCTCTCTGTGCCTCAGAATCCTGACCTGTAAATTGCGGCAGCACATTTCAGGGACTGTCCAGGGACTATCTTGGATGCTGGGGAGCCGGCAGCATACGAAGCATGTGAGGGCCATGCTCTTGGGGAGCGAGTGTGGTTTTAGGGGGGAGAGGAGAGAATCCCTACAAATGAACAAAACAGGTGTTCTCAGAGAGAGGCAACAGAGTGATGTGCCAGTACTGGCTAGGGTGGGGGGCTGACACCCTGGTAGTGAGTTGGAGCCCCTCACACTGGGGGAGAGTTCCCCAGGTAGGGGACAGGCAGGTGCAGAGGACCTGAAGTGGGAAGGGCTTGGTGAGGCTGAGAACAGATGAGAAAACTCTGAGGCTGGCATGTAGAGAGAACAAGGGTTGAGATGAGGTTGGAGTGGCTTGGTGAGCCCTGGGTTTCACCGAGGGAGGGGCCCTGGGAAGGTTCATGGTGGTGAATGGCCTGATCCTTTGCTTTAACTGAGATACAGTTTCCAACACATTCAATCTACTCACTTAAAGTGTACCATTTGGGGGGTTTTAGGATGTTCACAGAGTTGTGTGACCATCACCAGTCAACTTGGGAACATTTCCGTCGCTCCAACAGGAAACCCCATGCCCCCTCCCCCAGCCCCTGGCAACCACTAATCTGCTTTCTGTCTCTATGGATTTGTCTGTTCTGGACACTTTATGTAAATGGAATCATACAATGTGTGGCCTTTTGTGTCTGGCTTCTTTCAGTCTGAGCGACATTTTCAAGGTTCACCCACATTGTTGCGAATGTCAGTGCTTCGTTCCTTCTTTAAAAATTGTGGCGAAATACACAGATCATAAAATTTACCACCTTCGCCATTTTTGTATGTGCAGCTCAGTGGCATTAAGTACATTCACGATGTTGGGCATGTGTGTCATTTCCTTTTTAAGGCTGAATAATACTCCATTTTCTGGCTCCGCTACTTTACACATATCCGTTCATCCATCAATGGACGTTTGGGTTGTTCCGCCTTTTGGCCTTTGTGAATATTGCTGCCATGGACATACATGCCCAGGAGCTCATGTGGATGCAGGTGCTTCTCCCTTGAGTGTCGACCAAGGAACGGAGGTCATGTGGTAGGTGCTAGGTCATAGGGTAACTCCCTGGTTCACCATTCGAGGGCTCTTCATGTCTCACAAAGATGACTGTGAGCTGAATGGGCAAGGGCATTGGAGGGGAAGCAGGTAGCTGGTGAGAGGCTGCTGTAGCACCTATGTTGGGGATTGGGGCGAGGTGACTTGAGCCGGGAGGTGTCTGTGGCCGTGACCAGGATCGGTGGCTTGTGGTGATATTTCAGCAGCAGAGCCAGCTAGATGTGCAGGTAAATCTCATAGGGGGAGTGAGGGGAAGGAATGGGGTGTGTCACCTGCCTGCCAGGGACTCAGGACACAGCAGGCTGTGCACGTGATTGATCACTAAGTATCCTAGGGAGCAGCACCTGGGCGAGAAAAAGCCCACACGCAAAGCACCCAGTGGCGGCCTGGCCAGGGCTGCCGGTTATGGCTGCACCAAAGGAGGGTGTTCTCCCGGCCCTACCCGGTTACGGGGGTGGCTCTGCACAGGCTGGAGGAAAACGGGTCCCTGGGCGGCAGGCATAGCGCAGCGGTGGCTCGGGTTAGCTGAGCGCGAAGGCCGCCCCCGGTCCTG